GGGTCCGGCGGAGCGCAGCCGCGGTGGGGCTCGGGGACCGCGGTAAAGCTGCTCTTTGTTCCCTCCCGCAGAGCACTACAAGCACCACTGGTTCCCCATGGTGCCCTCCAAGGGCTCCGGGTACCGGTGCATTAGGATCAACCATAAGATGGACCCCTTGATAGGAAAGGCAGCGGGGATGATTGGGCTGAGCCACGAGAGACTCTTCCAGCTCTTACCCAGCGAATTGACTCTTTGGGTCGACCCTTTCGAAGTGTCCTATCGCATAGGTGAAGACGGGTCTATCTGTGTCCTTTACGAAAGTCCCCAGCCTGGTGGGAAGACGACCAAACCGCTGGAGAGTAGGACCAACTGTAAGGAGGAGTGGAGAATTGGCAGATCCAGCCCTTCCAAGAATTACAGCATGATGACAGTTTCTAGTTAAAAATTGCTGTTCCTTGTACAATGATGTATGTATCCCAATCTCATGGTAAACTTAGATGTAACCGAGACTTTTTGGTTTTTAGTTATTTTTGTCACCCTATAGTCATTAGTGTTGTAGTTGTACTGCCAAGTTCTTTGTGGCCAAGGGCTAATGTATAAAGCAGTTCTTTACACTGCATGTTACTTTCTGTAAATGCACTGTACAGTCAGTTGATGGTTTTACACATTTATATTTTCAAAGAAGTTTTGGCTATTTGTAATAAAAAGCAATATTGTAGCACTCTTTATGATGGATTTTAGTCAAGATTAACACGTGCTAAAACATTCCTCAATTTGCAGAGCAATAACACGAAGCGGGGTGGGAAACAGATCTAACAAGCTGCACATAAATCTTTCCAGTGACTTGTCTGCACAGACTTCTCTCAGGGTCATTCAAGTTTGGCTGCAAGGCACAAATCACAAAAATAACCCTTATTTTTCCGTTTTCAAAGCATGCGTTTATTTGAGGGCTGGATTCCATCATGCCCCAACATTTTGACAAAAAGAATTAGGGAATTAGTTTGTCTTGTTATTTCTAGTTATTGGAATAGAACAATAAAGACTTGCTCAAACTGCTTTTGACTTGGTTTGGTGGTGGCTTTTCTTCCCCAGGCTTTTTACATTGGTCTCAAAGCTATTAGCTATTTCTAATCATCACAGATAGCTTCACAGTTAGAAGGGTGTAGCTCTGAACATTTCATCTTTATTTCAGATCACTACAAAATGCTTAGTTTCAGAAAAGCTTGCTGGCTGTGTGTCTGAGTGGGGCTGAATAGTCTGTGTAGAGCTGTGTGGGGTTTCTTCAGTATGTGCTGTATCAAACTGGTAGCAAAAGTACTCTTCCAACGTTTGATCTATTGCAAAAAATGTTTGAGTTTATTGGGAAGTAAAGTTTGCATTTAGAGCTTCAATTTAAAACCATCTAGGAAGCCAGAGTGAAACACTGATTATCAATACCGTGTAACTACCTTGACTTTCCTGGAAGGTAAAAACCTGCCATTTCTGGCATTATGTTGGTTCCTTCTCGTTTTGTCAGTGTCTCTAATACCAGTTGGATACAAGTTTAGTAAAAGTATTAAATACAGTGGACTTGATGTAATAACAAAACTTGGTGTTGCTGGTTTATGTGAAGACTCTTAGTATTGATATTCCAGTAATGAATTCAATTTACAGATACTGTAATTCCTATTCTAAGAAGCAGTGGCTTGTAATCCGGCTATAGAAGACTGCATACTTTCTGGCACTGCTGTTTTTTTGTTAGCCTGGTGTTCGAGCACAGTTGAATACTTGATGAAAGAGAGCTTTGTCTAGTGTTAGTATGTCAGAAAAAAAAAATCTTGCACTATGTCAATAACATGGTAAAACATTTAGCGAAGGGAGGGGCAAGTCTGGGCAAATTAGGCTACAACTTTAGTTCACATAAAGAGGGTTGGGTTTTTTTCTTTGTGTTAGAAAAAGCTGTGGCTTACTTTTTTCTGTTTGCCTTATCTTGGAGGCAGGCTTGTCTAGTAGTATTTGTTTAATCTGAATAAAATGCATAGTGCAATTTTCTTAGTAATTAAAACTTTGTAAAAATTGGTTGTGTATTTCTAATCTATCAGTCCAATAAATAAGTTTCTGGGTTACTTTAGCAAATGGGTCTTAAAGGTCTTGTGACAAACTGCTTTTTTACTATACAAGATTGAAAATCAGTTCTCGCGACATTGTTTTATTATCTTGGGGAGATGGAAACACTTTTTTTCTTCTCTGATAGAATTGCCTGCACTGAATATTTATTTCCTTAGGACCTCTAAAGGACATATTTGACACATTTGTCAGTAATTGATCAGAATAAATCTGCTGAGGGTGAGATGCTCGCTTTGTTTAAATTTCATTTGAAAGATAATCTGCCTTGCTGCACATCATATTAACAGCCTATCTGAAAAGATGTAGTGTGGAGTTTTTAGCTTAACAGTAGATTTTACATAGCAGTAAACACTTAAAGTGAAATTAAAGATGACTTGGGACATGGGGTATGATTTCCAGCTACTGAGTGTGGTTTGACATGAAGTAGGGTACAGCAGGTTTTTCAGCTGTTCTTTTCTTGCCCGGTGTCTCTCAGCGTAAGAGTAGAGAAGAGCCTGGATTAGTCCAACCATGGTGGATTCTGTTGCTTCTTATTTATTAATCCTACCATATTAAATGGGATACTTCATATGTTATATAATATCATGTCTCAAGTGTCCTATACTCTCTGCAAGTTTGATATTTATCATTGAACAGGACATTTTTGTTAGTGTAATTCAAGTTTAATTTCATATACTTAAGCTACAGGCATAGAGTTGAAGTTACTCTGCAGACAAGCAGGTGGAGGAGAAGGAGGAGCTTGAAGAAAACCCACTGAAGCAAATAAAATACTTAAGCCGCAAGTAAATACAGCGTAATATCTGTGACATCTAGAACTACATTCCATTGCTTTAAAAAAAAAGTCAAAGACCTGCTAACTGCACAAAGGCTGTTCTGAGGGAATAGAGCTCTTGGTAGTAAGCCAGGGAGGCTGTTATTTGGAGGAAGTACATAAAATTAACTTCGTGTTTTCCCTAAAAGGTGTTAAATTTTGCATTCTGCCATTGCAATAAACAAGCCAAAATCTTAACATACTTAAAATTATGTACTTGTCACACAAGACTGACCGCATCTCATCAGTCATGATTTAGAACAGAATGGTTTGGATTCTATAGGAAGGATTATTGCATGCTAGCCTCCTTGAAGCAGTAAAAATATATGGAGGAAGGGTATATTTGTTTGTTCTCATGCCTGTTTGTATGAGGATGGGTTAACTGTTGGATAAGCAAAGCTGAAGGAAGCAACATTTATAGAGGGGGAAAAAAACCATACATTTGCCTGTTTCTCCAAAATGTTGCCTTGCTGCAAAGACAATTAAATAACATTTGTCTTTCTGAGTTGTAAAATCTAAATGAGACAGAAGGTCCCATTAGTTTATACGGCCTGACCACTTATGTACTGCAATTCCTATATATTGCACCCCTGGCTCGTTACTTGCACCTAAGAATATAGAGGGGTATAGTTTTGATCTGAAAACTTCAAGAGGTAAGGGTATTGTCTGCATTTGTTTCAGATTCTATTACCTTTAGTGTTAGTTAAGTTCAAATATGAAATTTGGTGTGGTTTTTAAGTTTAATTTCTAAACATTGGTGTCCTTATTTCTTTACCCTCAAGATGAAAGGCCTTTTAGTATGGCGTCTTGTATGCACTTTATACTGCAATCAGATTAAGTCTGTTATTTATTTAAAGGATTAAAAAGATTAAGCTTTTCAAGTTTGAGCATAAATCATTTTCTTTTAACTGCGTTTTACATACATGCTTTCTGCAAACACTCATTCCATTTTTTAATATGTGCATGAGAATGTGTTCTCAAGAAATGAGTGCAGTGAACCAACTGATCTGGATCACACCGTTCCCACCATTATTTGCCATTCTACCAACGCTGATGGTGCTGTGATTTTCACTTCACTGAGAACAATGTAAAATTACTTCCGATCTAGTACTGACATAATTGCTAAATACGAGGTCTTTCACTTAACTAATTTTTAATTCATCTAATGCATTCCTCACTCTGTTATTTTTATTTTGTCTAGAATGCCATGTGTTTTAGGTGAAGTGCTTTATAAAAGCCTGAATAGTTAGTGTTACTGCAATTACTCACACAAAGGACAAACCCCAGGTTTGTTTAGCTGGATAGCTTTTCTATAAAACAATGTTGACTGGCATTAATGGTATTTTTCTCCTTTTAATTATACTACTTCTTATGAATTCAATTAATGCTTCATTAATTAACCTCCTTTTTACATTTAATCCAAGATTGAAAGTGTTCTAACTCTCCTGCAATTATTAGTTGTTACTCTTTTATATCTGGATACCTCCTCTGGAGAAATTTTCTAGCTATTCCCACATGCATCGGAAATAGACATCAGGGTCCTGCTGATATCCTAAGGCAGTTCTCTTGGGCATTTTTCTAGACCTTGTGGTTATGTTTTTCATTACGAAATCCTAAAAATTATTGTCTTGATGTTATCTTGTTTAGTCATAAGTATATCGGAAGTATTTCATTATCGCCATGTAATACAAAGTTATCCACATTATCAAATACAGATAGGCAATATTTATTGAACACTTACAGCTTTTTGCCTCATTTTAACAATTTTGCAGTCTTTATCTTTTCAGTACTAGAATTCATTTATGTGCTGATGTATCTTAAAAGGTCATTGCCTTTGCATAGCTGTTTTTCTTAGCTATTTTAACCATGGATTTTCCTTTCATGTCTTTAGCTTCCTTCAGACTTTTTTTTTTTTACTTCACAATAATCCATGTATCTTGGCTTTTTTCTGTTTCACTTTTTTTTTTTTTCTTTTCCCTCCTTACTGGTACGGTAAGGGGTGTGACTCAGAACTTTGATCTCATCTTAATTTCTGCCTTGTGTTGTATCAGTGTAGCATCACTACAGTCATCAGTTTGGCTTTGTGCAATTCCTCCAGGCTAACGCATATTGCCATGGCAGAGTGGGAAGACTTGTATTGTTGGGTTAATAGAGGCATTCTGGTTCTTGAGTAGTAAGATTGATACTTTTTACTGTCACCACACTTATATTTTATAAATTATTTTTTCTTGTGGTGCCAGAATCACTCTTGGTAATTTTTATGCTGTAACAGTAATAGGCCCATCTATTTTCATTGTTTTCTTGCTGGGAATTGAATTTATTCCGGTAATAACAAGTGATATTTTGCTTTCCATTATAAGGCTATGTAAAATTTTCATTGAGAAGTAAACTGCTGATTTTAGCTTGTAATTTGGGTAACTTCTGGGGGGGGCAATATATTTTAATTGAAATGGAATTGCATGAAAGAATCTTTCATCTGCTTGGGAGAGTCACTTTGCACTGTGAGATTCAGCTGCCCCTCGTTT